ATCACCAGAGCTGCATTGTTCACCCATTAGATCCTGTTCCTATTGCAGAAAAATTTCTTGATGAGTATTTATATTTTGTTCAACATCTTGATAACATTCCACGGTATGCTGATCTAGTAAATTACATTATTGTGGGCATTCTACCACACCATGCTTCAAAAACACAAACTGAAAAGATAAAATCTGATTCTAAATATTTTGTGTGGGATTAGTGACCAGGTGATAAACCCTTAGTCGTATAGGTTTTCAAAATTTAGTTTCCCCAAAAAATATAGTAAGAGGTAAACCAAATATCAATCCAAGGAGTGAAATTGCAAATTGTTCTTTTTATGGTGTGTAATTTGAATGGAGAAAAAACTAAGTACATTTGTTGGGATTTTGAGTTATGAAAGTAAAAAAAATGTAAAATGTAAACAACTAAAAAGAATTTTAAACTAGTAAACTAAAATGTGTCAAATTGCTTTGCAGGTAAAAAATTTAAATGGAACTGAACACTAAATGGTAAAATCAAATTGGTAAAAAAAAAATACTAAAGATACTAAAAGCAACTCAAGAACCGAATAAAAAAATTGCTAAAATTCAAAACCAAAACTAGTTACGGATTTTGTGATAGATTTAGCTAGAAAATTTTGTATGTTGTAAATCTAATGGAAACTAAACTAATCAATTATCAAAGATAGAAAACAAATTGATTAAGCACACAATTTGAACTAGAAAATAATTGAAATGATGTAAAAACTACAAAAAACTCTTGAAAACCGAATTGAAAAATCTAATTAAACTAAAACATTTGTTAACTATGCATATGGACATGTTATGACTTAAATTGCCTAAAATATGAAACTAATAAAATGAAAAAAAAAACTAAACTAAGTTCTAAACAGAATTAGAAATGTTTCTAAATGCTTTAGAACTCAAAGAATTAAGAAAAATTAAGCCTATAATTTGAAACAACATAAAAAACTAGACTAGAATTCTAAACTATACTAAATTGGTGCATGTAACATGTTTGTAAAAAATTTTAGAAACTAAAACAATTTTGAATTAACAAAAATAGAATTAAATCATGCTTGGAATTAAATCTGGACAGAAAATACAATAAGAACAAATTGGAACAATTGAAGAATTCAAATAGACAAAAATTTGAAACTACTCATGACCGAATGTAAAGATTAATTGGAAACAAACTTCTAATTGTTTGAAAAACTTAAAAACCTATTAACTAATGTTTAGAACTTCTAAATTGTGCAAAAACAGCAAAGTATTATGAAGAACAAGTTCTACAAAATCAAACACAAAAATTCAATCAAATGTAAAAGTTATTCCTAAATTGAGAACTACTCCTAAATTGCTATGAACAAACCAAACAGAAAATACTCCTAAAATGATTTTTGACCGATTGAATTCTAAAATAAAGTAAAAGAACTTCAAACAACATCTAAGAACAACATTCTAACCAATCAAATTGGAGAAATTAAGCCAAAACAACAAAAACAAATTTGAAATGGTAAAACAACATCAAAACAACAAGAACAATGAAACAACACATGAAAACTTTGTGAAATTGACTAATGAGATGTGATTCTTCTCCTTAATGAATAAGGAATTGATTAAGGCTTGAAAAACAACAAGAATCATGCTCAAATCACTGCCAAAATAATGTAAAAATTGAAAACAATGAAGAAGAACAAAGTTGGAAACAACATTGTGAACAATCTATGATTATGTGATGAATTGAAGTAGAAATTCGTGTAGCAAGAAGAACAATAAACAAAGTAGAAAAAAATGGAAACTAAACGAGACAAAAGGAAAACTAAACTGAAAACTAAAGAGATAGCAAGAGAAAGAACCAGAATTAAGAAAACTTGAACTAGCTTCACATTATTAGAATTTGGTGTGTCTTACAATGGTCCAAAAAAGCCTTATTTATAAGTTCAAATGTGAGTTAACTAGATTTAAAACTAATTAAACCATGATTAAAACTAATTACAAGCGTGTCTTAAATCTAACTATAGTTAATTTCTGTATCGGTTCCATAATAGGATCTTTAGTTTCGTGTCACCATTTAGTCTAATTTATTAAAGATAGCTTTGAGCTTCAGAAATAGTCATTTTTGTTTAAATCAAACAAAATGCAAGGTCAAAAGCTGGTTAGTGAAAAAATCGAAGTAATACGGAAAACTATGTTAAAATACAAAAATTAGTATATTTTTGTGATTTTGTATATTTTTTTCCTAAAAATGCTATAATCTAATATAATAGAATAACAACCTAAAATAATTTAATTCTATTCTATTAACTAAGAAAAATATTAACAAATGAATTATCATCACCAGGTCCTTAGGAGATATCTCCCTGAAAATAAACTAATCATGATTTATTTATTTTTGTAATTTTGAAAATATTATCAACTAATGCGTATGTAAATTCTAACATACTACCCACACATAGTGGTATTAAAATAGATATGCCTCGATGAATCGACCCAAAAAAGAAAAAAATAAGTCAAATCAAGCAAGATTTTTTTGACCTAAATTAAAGTATGTTACTTTTGGCCTCATTTAGGCTATAGACTTACGTGTTTACCCATATATAAAAAATAAAATATTTTTAAATGAAAATAAAAGTAATATACTTTATGAATATATATACATATATATATATATATATATATATATATATATATATATATATATTATAAATTAAGTTAAGAATCGATCCATTTATTTGAAGAATGAGTCTCTAATTCTTATTCATGAAGTCTGGTTATTTAGATGAATTACTGATTTAGATCATTAGATTACTTAAAAATAATGAGAAAAACGAATATTAAATCTTGAATTTTTATTTTAAAGATGAATGATTCTCTTCTTTTGTAATTTATAAATCATTATATATGAAATAATAACTAATTTTTATTAATATAACTTAAATTAAAATACATTTTTTTTATTTAAAATTAATTTTTTATTTTAATAATTATTTTTATATATACATGTTATAACTATTTTTAATCAAACCATCATTTCCTATTCACATAGGACAAAAATTATAACTAATTTTAAAATATAAATCAAGTTTGCCCAGTTATTTTATTTACTTAACTTGAAAAATCGGGACAGATTGAATAAGATAACCCACTATGGAATATTTGTTTGTAATAACTTTTTTTTAATAATTACCACACACACACATATATATATATATATATATATATATATATATATATATATATATATATATATGAGAAATTACTAATATAGCCACTAACCTAAGACGAATTTATCAATTTTAGATTCTAGATTATCAAATAAAAGTTTATTTAGAAATCAATTTAAAATTTATTTTTTATTGAAAAATTGCAATTTGGTTGATTTGTTTTAAAGACATAGTTATTTTAACCTGACGAAACTTGATAGAAAACACGTGAGTTCTTTTTTAGTGATAAAATTCAAACAAAAAATATCAATAATTTTACTTAATAATGAAATAAATAACAATGCTAAGGACCGCATATATTTTAAATTGTGAAAATTAGTGTTAGATATTCAGAGGTGTGGGAGTTATGAGCCCAAAAATTTATATATATATATATATATATATATATATATATATATATATATATATATATATATATATATATATATATATATATATAAATTTATAACCAATCTTTATAACAGTAATTTTTATTAATATAAAATTAAAATTACTGTTATATTATTATGTTCACAAATTTTAAAAAATAATTATATATTACTTAAAATTTTAATATAAGTTTCACCTCTTCTTGAGAAGATAAATAATATATTATTAATAAATAATAAATAAATATGAAAGAATATAAAATAATGAAAAATCAAATTTATAAATATATAAATAATTATATTTAATAATTATTATGTGTGGAAAATTAAAATTATAAATTCAATGAAAACAAAGTTTATTTCAATATATATATATATATATATATATATATATATATATATATATATTTAAATTAGTCTATAATTTTATTTTTAGATATTTTACATTTAGTATTAAAATAGAACACTAAAATAAATTAAAATTAAAATTTAATATTTTTATATTATACAAAACATGCTAATTAGTTATAATAATAAATAAAAATAATAAAAAATAAATTTGTTTACTGTTTTTTATTTAAAAGAATATTGTGATAAATATTTTTTAATTTTTTGTTTTATGTCTTAAGACATAAAAAAACTACAAACTAAAGAATGAAAAATTATAATTTTTATGTTATAAAAATGAAATTATAAAAAAATTAAATTAAAGAACAAAAAATTACAATTTCTATATTATACGTGTAAACGTAAATGACAAAAATATGAATCAATGAATAAGTGAAAATTATAATATATATATATATATATATATATATATATATATATATATATATATATATATATATAATGAAAAGATAATAAGAAAAGTTGATGGAGAAATAAAAAGATAAGAAAAGAGAGATAAAAATATGAAAATAGAAGTAAAAAAACGTGATTAGTGTAATTAGATTCTCTTGTTTTTGTCTCATAAAAAACGTGAACACACACTATTAAATACTTTAATTTGTCAATTTCTTTTGTCCTTTAATATATAGTTTACAATGAGTAAGAGATGTCCTTTAATATATAGTATTTTGTCCTTTAATATTTTAATGCATATTGAAATATCAATGTGAAGCATTCTTGCCAACACCGTCCACGACCAAATATAAGGAAAATGCGTAAGATGTGATCCCACGCTAGGTCCAATTATTGAATGAAAAAGAAACGTGCTAATATTATCAAAAAGGCAACAACCACATGCTAACCTTCTTATCCTCCAAACGCTACTATATATTCTGATTTTTTGTAGTGAGAACACTCAGACTCAGACTCATCCTAATAAATTACATATATAAATGTTTACATTTCCCATGAACTAGCACAATTGTTGTTGTAAAACTTTGGAGTGTTGAGTGTGCATTCATTGATCATGGCAACAGAGAGAGTGCTTCACATGAAGGATGGTGTAGGTGAAACCAGCTACACAAAAAACTCCTTACTTCAGGTACCATCTCTTTTTGCCAATACTTTTCATGATGTTGGGAAAATGCTCATAATTGAAAAAAATAAAATAAAAAAAGATTATTGACATTCAATATAACCCAGTTAAATTTTTAAAATATTTTAATTATTTTTCAAAATTCATGAATAATATATTGTATAGTTTGTTTTGTTATTATTAAAAGTCACAAAACTGTGACTCTCACTCTGCCAGTTTTCTTAATTAAATATTCTTGATATTCACTCCCTTCTCTATTAAATGCGCAATCTACAAATTATTTCTTTAACTATCTATTTTTTGCCATTCTCTAATGAAACTATGTCAAAAGTGTAAAATGCCATAAAAAAAAAAAACTTAAAAGAAAAGCATAGGGAAGATAAATTGAAAAAAAAAACTTAAATTTATTAGTTGAAAACTATTCATTATTATAGTACCGTTATTGAATTTTATACCAATATATAGTGACCAAAATTAATTTTGATGTAGAGAAAAGTGATAATGAAAGTGAAACCCGTTCTTGAAGAGAATGTGAAACGGTTGATGTCAAATATATCTTTTGACAGCTGCTGGAGGGTAGCAGACCTGGGATGTTCCTCAGGACCAAATTCACTTTTATTTGTGTCAAATATCTTAAGCATCATGGATAATGATAGCATTTGCTTGGACCAGCGTGTGCCACGTGTATTCCAAATTTACCTAAATGATCTTTTTGCGAATGATTTCAACACCATCTTCAAGTTGATACCAGATTTTTATCAAAGTATTCATCAAGAAGGACACAATCTTAGAACATGCTTTATTCATGCAACACCTGGAAACTTCTATGGAAGGCTTTTTCCTGACGATTACATTCACGTCTTTCATTCCTCCTACTGTCTCCACTGGCTGTCTCAGGTCAGCTATATCAAACCTAATTTCAATTCATTATCATATAAATTTTCTATACTAGTTCAACACTTGTATAAGTTAATTTTTTTTTTTTTTTTCAACCTTCTTTGATATCAGGCACCAGAAAGTTCGACCAGTGAACCACTTAACAAGGGAAATGTTTGTGTAACATGCACAAGCCCTCCTTCAGTCTATGAAGCATATTTTAAACAATTTGAAAAGGATTTCAAACTTTTTCTGAAATCACGTTCAGAGGAACTAAGGTCCGATGGTATTATTGTACTTACTTTCCTCGGCAGGGAGAAATCTCAAAAAATTAGTTCTTCTTGGGAGCTAATTGGTGTTGTACTTAACAACATGGTCCAAGAGGTAAATCATGAGCGTTGATCATTGGCTAAGAATGTCCTAATTTATTACTTTATATATATATATATAAGAGACATATAAATTAAGAATTTCACAAACCACTATTTAGTATAACTATTTTCCTTTTATTATATTAATATCATGAGTTCGACGATAACATCTTATTTATACTTAAAATATTGATTTTAATGATTTGTAGGGTCTGGTTGAAGAGGAAAACTTAGACTTTTTTTATCTACCTATGTATGATCCTACAACTGAAGAAGTTACGCACGTGATTGAAAAAGAAGGATCTTTTACCCTTCACACGTTAATGACTTTTAAAATAGGTTGGGATGCAAATCTTCAAGAGGATGTTGATGATTCAATACTTGATAGTAAAACGAGAGCAGAGTTCGTAGCCAAGTACATCAGAGCTGTTTTCGAACCCCTCTTATTAGCTAAGTTTGGTGAAGATATAATGGATGAATTGTTCTCAAGATATGCAAAGCTGGTCACCCAACACATAGAGTTAGAGACAATGGAGTACACAAATATAGTCGTTTCCATGACCAAAAATTCTTGAAGAATATATTTTGGCTGAATTATGGCCAAAATTTATGGTTGAGTAGTTTATTTTGGAATATTATCTTATGATATTTGGCTTTTATTATATCAACTTGAAATCTCAAGAGAAAATGTAATGTTATTGTTCATCTTCTTTTCCATTTTGCTTAATAAAAGAAATATTAATTGTGATTAATTGGTTATATATTATTATTATTATTATTATTACATCTTCTGTTAATATAATTATTAGTATAAAAGATAATTTATATATATATATATATATATATATATTTAAATTAAGGTATGGTTTATGTTGAAGACAGTAAATTTATGTTTGATATATACAAAATTGATGTTAATTCATTCGTGAAATAGGTTTTTTATGTCATCTTTCTTTTGTTAGATTATAAAATAATTGACTTAAAAAAAATGTGGTGATATTTTTGAAAATAATGGAAGAAGAATTTATGTTGATCTTTTTGAGGTTCAACGTAAATTTTGCGTTTTATTTTTTTAAGAGTTTTTTTTTCCTCACACGCGAGGGTTCTTGAATCAATGATGACAATGCCTACTGCAATACCTCCAAGAGTATTTTCTGATTTTGATGAATGGTAACAACACCTACTTTTTGTCTTATTTGTGATGGATGACATTTCTCTCCGATTGGATTCGAGTTTTAGAACGTTCTGAGTATCTTTGATGTTAGTAATCTATGTCTCTAATTTTATGTTTAAATTGAATCCATGATTATTTTTAGAATCTCAATCATGATATTACATGAATGTCTCTACTGTATTACTTTTGAAATTGAACTATTATTATTTGTGATTATTCATTTATTTATTTGAGCGCACCTACGGTCTATACACTACATTATTTGAGTCCCATTTTTTTTTTATATATTTTTAAAAAATATGAATATGTATTCATTTTGTTGAAATTTATTAATAATTGTTTTTTTTTTCAAGATTATGTCGGATTCAACATCTGGTAGTAGTAGGAGCAAAGGTAGATCTATTACTCGATTAAAGAGGTTGACAATGAGTCATGTTGCTAGGAAGAGGACACAAGTTGACATCAATTCACGTTCTGCTAAAGCGTCAGACCCAAATGTTGCAAAGTTTAGGAGTTATTTGAGACTCCTAATTCGACATCATGTTACTATTATTATTCCATCTTTGGATGATGTCGAGGAGACCGAAAATAACTTTATGTGACAGGATATTCAGGTATTTCCATATTTATTGAATACTCCATATATTAATAACTGAATTTAACATTTTCACTTCATTTATCCCAAAGTAAGAAAATTATTGATGCCATATGTATTGATGGACGACCATGACTACAAACACACGTTGGGCCCCTTACTTGGCCCATGGAAAAGAGGATAGAAGAAGAATAATTCAACCCAAGAACACTCTTTACTTGGAGTTTATCTTAAGAATGCTTCATCCTCTAGCCTATGTATATAATTTGTAAAAACTCGTCCTTTGTTTTTTTTTTTTTTTTAGGAAAATAACTTGGACCAATCCAGGGTCACGAGCCAATCACCAAGACCAAACACATGGATGGGCCGAAGCTATGGTCCAACCCACAAAGCCACACATGGATGCAACATCCAACCTAATGAAGATCCACACAACCACTCATTTTGTTTGGCTGCACAATGAGGAAACTCATGGAGATATAAAGACTTGGAAACAATCTCATTTTGGCAATATGGGACTTCGAGATGACGATACAATAAAGAGAGGCACAAAGGAGATTTTAGCTTGGAGTTCAAAAGAGAGATCCAACATGACCAGGCCTGGTCTTAGTCAAGGCATTCTTTCGGTCATTCACGAAAGGCCAAGACCACATCTATTCATGTGCTTGCAGCCATTGAGAGTGCAATGCAATATATAGACTTAATCTAGTGTTTTCGGCCAGCTCTTGTTAAGAGGCCAAAATGTTCAATATCACCTAGTGCATTGAGTGGATAAGAGGGAAAATATTATAAACCCTTGTGTAGCTTTTTTGACACATTCGAATAAAATCAAAACTTGTGTGTGGAACTTGCATATTTGTTTGTAACCCGAATTTTGCTTATCTTTAAGTATCTTTGGATATTTATTTCTGCTACTCTCCTAACAAGAAACCTTCCTTGAAGGAGTTAGTGTCAAGTTTCTCTAAAAACTTGGGAAAGAATTTTGGTTCACCTTGGATGCTCATGGTGCAGAATTTTGGTGCCATATTTGGTAGAGAGGAGGAAGAATGTTTCCATCATTTATTGTTGTATATAAACTTTGAAAATAAAATTGTATTTTATTTCTCATTTTAGTGTAATAGGCAAACAAACTCATATGAATATGACTATAATGTCATGTACTAGATGAAAGTCATAGTTTGTGCGAATATTACTAATTCCTGAATAGAGGTAATTCATTTTAATAATAAATAAATTTATTTATTATTATCTTATTTTTTGTTAATAACACTTAAGTTATTGTTTGCGGTATTTCAATATTCATCACCTGAACATGATATTTTACAAAGGGAGCAATGGGTTAGGGTTTTTGTACAAAATTTATGATACTCATAAACTTTGTAAATGTAGTTAATCTTATGTAATTTAGGATAGTTTGTTGTATTTAATAGATATTCAATTTTTTTGTAATTTAGTTTGATACATATTTATGTATTTTAATAATTATATATAATTAAGTTGTACTCTGGATAGCTTAGTCTGTGTTGAATATAGTGAAAAACTAAGTATAAGGTTAATTCTCTTGTATCTAAAATACACATAGGGTAATATATTTATAATTAAGAGTCATACAAGTAAATATGATAAATACATATATTATGACTAATAATATCTATAATATCTAAAATATCTAACACTCATCCTCAATATGATGCATATAAATCATAAGTATTAATCTTGTTACAAATATAATCAATTTTAGGTCCCCATAAAGACTTGATGAAAATATCTGTTAACTGATCACCTGAGTTAACAAACACGATCTTAATATCTCTAGAGACAATCTTTTCTTGAATAAAATGACAATCAACTTCAATGTGTTTTGTCATTTCATGAAATATAGGATTATAGCTAATATGAAGAGTAGATTGTCAAATATAAGTATTATTTGAGTGATATCTCAAAATTGTAATTCTTTAACTAATTGTTTAAGTCAAACAAGTTCACAAGTGGTTGAGGTCATAACTCTATATTTTTCTTCTGCACTAGATCTTGCTACAATACTTTGTTTCTTGCTTTCCAAGAGATCAAGTTACCTTCAATAGAAACACAGTATCTGGAAGTAGGTCTTCTATCAGAAGTAGATCCTGTCCAATCAGCATCTGAATAACAAATAACTTTAGCCTGGTTATTGTGATCATATAGCAAATCTTTTTCAGGAGATCCTTTAATGTACTTTAATATACAAATTACTACACTCCAATGATCTGCACATGAGAAATTAAGAAATTGACTCACCACACTAATTGCAAAGAAAATGTTAGGACAAGTAACAGTGATGAGTCTCTAGTTGCCTTAGAGATGGGAGAGGTCATCCCTAGAAGGATAACTGATGTATAATAAAGTAAAGTGTAAAATTTTTAAGAAAATAAGGTGTAGAATTTTAAACAATAAAGTAAGCAAACCTAAGAAAAATTTTACTGGGCATTAAGATAGTTGTCTATCTAGATGTGAAGGTTCATTTTCATGGATTGTGGAAGGAGGAAGAAATGGAATGAAACTACAAAAGAATAAAATAAGGGTTGAAAAAATGGACCAGCCCCTTGAATAAATAAATGGAGTGAATAAATAAAGAAGAAAAGTTGAAGAGAAAAGAAGTATGGTGGTGGTGGAATATTGACACACCACTAGGGGATGAACCACCCTAGATAAGTGGTGGTTACGCCACTTGAGCCAAGATTCAAAATAAGATTCTCAAAAGAGATGCAATACTCTAAGAAACTTCACAAACTTATCATAAATGTTCAACCTAATTACATGAGGGGAAGCCTTCTATTTATAGGTTTTTTAGAGAGGGACCTAGATGAAATTACAATAGGAGACATAAACTTAACCTAAACTTAAAGTCTAGAGTCCCCATGGTCCAAATATTTTAATTCGTCCTAGCCTACCAAAAATACCTCTAAGGGTGTGGAGAACATAAAAAAAAGGTGTGTGTCCTTTTAGATTATTTCAAGCCTACCAATCTCGCATCTCAAGATTCTTCCTCTCCAAAAAGAGGTGTAGGACATGAAAAAGGAGTGTCTTACACCTTTGGGTTGCCTATGCATGTATCCTATGGATCTAAGGCTTCTTTTCCACCAAAAAGAAGTGGTATTCTTAAAAAAAAAGATGCAAAAAGTGAGCCTACAAAAGGAAAACAAAAATAAGTGAAAAACTTAGAAAAAGAAAATACTAAGTAAAAATATTAAGTAAATTTAAAATGGAAGGTAAGGAGGAGACCCCCTTCTAGTCATGCTCGTATTAATCCTCCTAGGGATGACCTCTCCCGCCTCGAGGGCAACTAGGGACTCATCAATAACTAGGAGCATGACTAAAAGGGAGACTTCCTCCTCATCCTCCACTTTGAATTTTCTTAGCATTTTTTTCTTAAATTTTAGAGACTCACTTTCGCACTTTTTTTATAGGACCACTTTATGCACCTCCTTTTTGAAGACCACTACCTTCTTTTGGTGGAGAAGAAGGCTTGGACATATATGGATGGTTGCATGGGCTTCCCAAAGGTGTAGAACACTCTTTTTTCATCTCCTACACCCCCTTTTGGAGAGGAAGAAGCTTGAGATGCGAGATTGGTAGGCTTGAGACAATTCAAAAGAAAATACACCTCTTTTTTTTATGTTTTTCACACCCTTGAAGGTATTTTTGGTGGGCTAGGATGATATTTAGACCATGAGAACTCTAGCCTTTAAGTTTAGGTTAAATTTATGTCTCATTTTGTAATTTCATCTAGGTCTCTCCTTAAAAAACATATAAATAGAAGGTTTTCCCTAATGTAATTAGGTTAAATATTTATGACAAGTTTGTGAGGTTTCTTAGAATATTTCATCTCTTTGAGTGTCTTATCTTAAACCTTGGTTCAAATTGTGACAACCACCACTTATTTAGGGGGTTCATCCTTTAATAGCGTGTCAACATTCTACCACCATCATACTTCTCTTTTTTTCATCTTTTTTTCTTTATTTCTTCACTCTATTTATTTATGAGAAAAAAATGGTTATATTTATACCTAAATATAAATGATAATCATTAGAATAAAAGGATGATTGGAGAATTAACCATTGATTTTCATATATTTGTGCAATTTTACTACATTACTTTATTGTTTTATTTAGATTTATAATTTAATTTCTTTAAATTAGATGTTTAGACTCAAAATCATCAAATCTGCCTAATCTAAGTCTTTTAAAATTAAGAATAAGTCTATTGTAATTCACCAATGTTGATCGAGAATACGATTTAGGTTTTTCTTAACTTCTACCTATTTTTCTTTGTATTGATTGATTTGATAATATTTTCACGGCAAAATGTGCTAATCAAGTACCTACGAATATCCACTACCCGCTAATCATTTTTATCTTTTTTTTAGTAAGTTATTGCTAAAGAAAATATTAATAAATTGTTTAGAGATTTATAGATTTATTTTTTTTACTTAGATTTATGGAATTGAATGTGTTTTAAAGTGATTAATTTCATTTAAACTTATACTTTGCATAACAACTTATTTGAATTTATCTTTTAAAAAGAGTAATTTTATTTATCCTAATATTTTATTTAGGATGAAATATATTTTTCATACAATAACTATAATAAATACTTGTGCATAGTACAATTAAAATATTTTATCTGATTTTCATATAATATCAATTGTTTTGTTAAGTTTTTAATAGAATGAAATAGTAAATTTTATGTCATATGAATCATTATGTAATATGTATATTATTATGTAATATGTATATTGATGGCTATAGTTTTAATTACAGGAAAGTTCAATTTCATGGAAGATCATAACTGTGTAGGGTCATAATTAACGAGGTTCGCGAAGTTTTTCCTTAATGAATTTTGGACAATATATGAAGAAATTGTTTATATATACACGATTAAACAATACTTAAAATCATATATACGAGCATCACATGATTTTATTATCTATGTAACAAGAAAAAATGACTTCTCTAGCAATGATAATTAAAAAATTAATAAAGTAATTATTAATGTATAAAAATGGACAAAATATTTTAATACTAAACACAAATATTTTCATAATTATTGAGTGAAAAACATATTTTACCCTATTTTTCATGCAATTTTATTTGAATTATACTTTAACATTAAACAAAAAAGTTATTTGAGTTTATATTTTAAACAATGATTTTTGAGTAATCTTATATAAAATATAAAAAATTAAAAAAAAAGTATTAGTATTCATATATACCCAAAGATACAAAATAGTCTACAAATTATCTTTAAGCGGATATCATCCGACAAGTAATTTTTCTTTTTCAAATCTAAACACATTAGTATTCGTTTCATAAAGATATTATAATTGAAAAAAAAATAGAGATTACTTATTATGAACATATAAATATTTTTACAAAGTCGTTTTTTACAAATTAAAGAAAATATTAGAATGATTAAATCTTGAATAAGAAAGGAAATGTTAAAAATTAATCAAGTTATTGTTTTTTGGCCTAAAATTACATCATCACTAAGTAATTGCTAATTAAAAAAAAAACTATGTTGTGTCAAAATGGCAGAGTCGTCTTTAGGAGTAAATAATTTGCCTCCATATTATTATTTGCCCGCCACGATTTCTTATGAACTAAAAGCATTTTCAGTGAAATTTTTTAACCAATTAAGCTTTGTTCGAAGCTCTACCCATGTCGTGGAGAGGCATACTTTTATAATGAAAGCTGAATAAAGAAAACAATATGAATAATTTTTTTTCTAGAAAAGAAGATGCTGTGTTAATTGCTAGAAACTTCCAATGGCCAAGTTATCAGTTTTGGCATAATATAGTGTACTAACGGCCATTATAGGCACAAGTGATAACGACATTTAAGATCAGGCAGGATTCGCATGAATTTATCTGAAACTAAAGCAACGGCTAATAACATGCGACGAAAAAATAAAAACAACAAAACAAGAGACATCGCGTTGTTGGTTCATTCATTTGAGATAGATATAAGCATCAAACAAGAGACAACGAGTTGTTGGCTCAATCATATCCTAAGATCATGGTAGATTGGTAGGTACGCATCTAAGTAATTTTACCCCCTATGAAAAATGACATTATACAGTTTCACTTGCAATATAATACTTTTATTAATGGCAGGATCTTGGCTAAGCTTCACATTCTAGACAAGGTCAAGTCCATTGCATCTGCTACGAAGTCTGCAAGAAACGGAATACACAAGCTGTAAAAACACAGTAATTTCATGCTGTATAGTTTTAACAATTAGGGAAATTCAGGTTGGGTCTAACCTGCATCTTCTTTGGTGAAACACAAAGGGGGTGTAATTCTGAAGACATTTCCATAGTAACCACCCTTACCAATAAGTACTCCTAATTCTGTAGTAACGCATAATGATCAGTTAGTAATATAGAAGAAAACTATAGCTAGCACCACAATGCATATCTAGAGGGGGGCATGGATTTTACCTTTCATTTGGTCCATCACATGCAATGTTTCTGTTTTTGCTGGAATTTTAAGCTCACGATCGGTGACAAGTTCAACTCCTAGCATCAGGCCTCTTCCTCTCACATCACCAATTACTACAGAAGAAACCAAGTTTGGTTATAATTCATAAAACTAGTAGAAAGAAAATGAAATTAGGATAGCTTTGTGTCTTTAATGCCTTTTTTAGTAGTGAGTGAGTGTGTGGATACCATTTGGGAGATTTTAAAGTAATTTTACTTCTAAAATAATAAATACTTCTAACTCTATTTTGTGTCATAGAATTCGGGAATGTGTACCAAAATCACATTTCTATTTTTTAACCAAACAGAGCTCATATAAATTTAGAATGAATCATTGTATGTAAAACAATAATGAGAAAGGAATAACAGGGGTGAAAATAGTACAGTCATATTTTTCCTTTAGAGCAGTGAGCCTCTCTTTCAAATAGGATCCAACCACAAACGCATTTTGCTGAAGATGCTCTTTCTCTATTACTTTTAAAACAGCCAACCCTGCAGCAGTACTAACAGGATTCCCACCAAAGGTGTTAAAGTAATTTCGGTGGGTTAAGACCTCTGCTATCTCTGGAGTTGTTACAACAGCACCAAGGGGAATGCCATTGCCAATGCCCTTCCAAATTAGAATTAAGAAAGAAGCCAACAGATAAGAAAATCATACAAACACAAAAGTTTATGCGGTGTATCATCAGATAAATTATTGTTTTGTTTGTGCATATATGGTTGTCGAAAGTATTAGTAATCAACTTAATAAAATTCACATGGATTCTGATTAGATAAACTTCTCAACAGTATAGGTTGAAGAATAAATAAGACAGGACCAAAAAAATAAAAAAGAGTTATTTATGCATTATAATTAATTTATAAAAAAAAGGTTGTCATTTAATTTCTAAAAACTAATTTTATCATATGATAAAAATATTTCCGAAAACCCCTGCCTTGTATTGAATATGATAGCACAATATATACATGAAATACGAAACATTCTAGGCTATAATTACGCTAACCATTATAGTCGGTATCCTAAATTTGTCTATTAACAGATATGAAATTAATGTGCATCGCTGTCATGCCAAGCTAAATATGAAAAAAATAATCATGTAGAATCATGGCATGATACGGTATTTGTAATCGTATATTCTATGTATATTCTATGTTTATCACCCTCCCTCAAGATGGAGTATGAAGGTTATGAATGCCCAACTTGCCTAAAAAAGAACCAAATTTAGTGGCGCCAAGAGATTTGGTGAAGAGATCAGCCAGTTGATGATGAGTGGACACATAGGAGGGTTGGATATGATTGTGTTGTATTTCATCACGAATAAGATGACAATCTACTTCAATATGTTTTGTCCGTTCATGAAACACAGGATTCTTGGCAATGTGAAGGGCAGCTTGGTTGTCACGATAGAGAGTCATAGGGTCGGTGTGAGTAATGCCTAGGCTCGAAAGAAGGCCTTGAAGCCATTTCAACTCACATGTCGTGTTGGCCATAGAACGATATTCCGCCTCAGCGAGATGATCGAGAAACCGTATGTTGCTTCTTGGTTTTCCAGGAAACGGGGATTGACCAAGGAAAATAAACCAACCAGGTGAGAGATCTTCGAGTGAGAGGACAACTTGCCCAGTCCGAGTCACACCAACCATAAAGACGAAGGTCACTCTCTCTTTTAAAAGCACACCCCGACCCGGCTGCCCTTTAAATAGCGTACCACGCGGAGTGCAGCCCGCCAATGCTCCCGACGCGGTTGGTGCATGAATTGAGATAGAACATGAACACCGTAAGATAATTCGGGTCGTGTAAAACACAAGTAAATAAGGCGACCGATGAGACGTCGATATTGACTCGGGTCGGAAAGTAGTTCGCCATCGGCCAATGCTAAACGATGATTTTCTTCGATTGGCGTGGACACGAGTTTCCCTCCAAGCAATCTCGCTTCGGCTATTATGTCCAACGCATACTTCGTTGACACAAGAAAATTCCCGTAGGAGATCCGGCAACCTCCACCCCAAGAAAGTATTTTAATTTCCCTAAGTCCTTCATATGAAAACATTGATGAAGATAATCTTTGAATTGCGCAATGTCTTCATGATGATTGCCGACAATGACTAGGTCATCCACGTAAACTAACACAACCGGTTCGACATCTCCTTTGCGAAAGATGAACAAGGAGTGATCGGACGAAGAACGTTGAAACCCATATTGAACAAGAGCGGTTGAGAGCTTGGCAAACCAACACCGAGGAGCTTGACGAAGACCATAAAGGGACTTGCGGAGACGACACACCATACCCTTTTGAGACACCAAGAACCCCGGCGGCATTTTCATGTACACAGGCTTCCTCAAGATCGCCATGCGAGAAAAGCATTATGGACATCCATTTGATGGAGTTCCCGGTCTTTGGCCGCCGCCACTGCCAACACTCGTCCGAATGGTGACCATCTTTGCCATCAGGGCAAAGGTCTCGTCATAGTCAATCCCCTCAACTTGGTGATTTCCCAAGACAACTAATCGGGCTTTGAAGCGTTCAACGCTCCCATCGGAATGATATTTAATTTTATAAATCCACTTGCAACCCGAGAGGCTTCTTCCCTGCTCGGTAGAGGAGTAATGTCCCATGTTTCATTACTTTGGAGGGCCCGAATTTCACTAGCCATGGCATCTCTCCATCTAACATCCCGAACGACTTCAAAGAAATGCACGGGTTCTCGCTCCGCATAAAGGGCTGCAAGAAAGGTTCGGTGGGGGAAGGAGAATTTAGCACAATTTAAGTACTTTGTCAAACCGTAAGGCATACCCGAGGAAGCCGAATGTGGAGTGCGAATTGAGGGACCGAGTTGTAAAGTGGTGTTAGTGACATAATCACGAAGCTTCACGAGATGGCTTTCGTACACGAAGACCTTTCCCCGGGGATGCGAGGGACGGTATGCTCCTCGGGAACCTCTAGTTCCGTCATCATAGAGTCGGTTTGTTCCGGTGGGAGAACGATCCGGGTGGGAGGCTCTTGTTCATGGCATTCGGCGTGGCCCTCCCCGAACTCGGTTGTGGGCACATATTCCGTTGTGGGGATAACGTCATCGGTCTCCACAACGTGTTCCGCATTGTTCATTGCACCAAGTCCAGGCAATGCTTCCTCGACAATGCCAACATCAACGAGTAGGCAATCCTACCTCCGAATGTCTACTGTGGGCAAGAGAGGCAAACGGGAATTCATGTTCTACAAACTTAACATCTCTCGAAGTCCGGAAGACTTCTCTTTCCGAGATCAAACAATTTCCAGCCCTTTTGTCCGATTGAATATCCAACAAATACATTCTTGCGACTTCTACTTGCAAATTTGTCACCTTTCCTATCTTGGTTATGTGCATAACACAAGCATCCAAATACCCGTAGATGGTCATAAGTGGGTGGCTTCCCATTCAATATTTCATATGGAGTTTTTCCATGGAGAACGGTTGAGGGTGTACGATTGATCAAGTATCCTGCGGTCAAAATGCATTCCCCCGGAATTGAAGTGGAAGTTCTCCCGTAAATCGTAGAGCACGAGCTACATTTAGGATGTGTCGATGTTTTCGTTCGGCTCTCCCATTTCTGCTGAGGTGTTCCGAGTGCATGAGGTTTGATGGAGTATCCCATGTTGCCGAAAATATCGTTGAAGACACATAAACTCGGTTCCATTGTCACTTCGTAATATTTTGACTTGTTTCTCATATTGTCGTTCTATTAAAGCGATGAAATGCATTAAGGTTTGTGACACATCTTTCTTATTATTCAAGAGATATATCCACACAGCTCGAGAACGAGTCATCAACCAAAGTGAGAAAGTAAGATGCACCACAAGACGAGGGAGTTCTATATGGACCCCATAAATCACAATGTATTAAATCAAATATATTGGATGCTTGAAAATCACTTAAAGGGAATGTGTTTCTACATTGCTTTGATCTCTCACACACTTCACACACACGAGTTGTATCCGTATTTCTATTCACGCCTGTTCGGATGCGGAATTTTTCTAACAATCTGGTAGGCGGGATGTCCCATTCGCTTCGCCAAATCTCTAGTTGATTTTCTCGCACTGGTCCGATACGCCTTTATGCCACTCACACCACGATACCAATAGAGTCCCTCTTTTCGTTCACCCGCTCCAATCGGCATCCTCGAAGTGTGGTCCTGCATTGCACAAAATCTATCGATGAAATGTACCTGTACATTTTACTTCATTCGTCAATTGTGATACCGAAATCAAATTGCAATTCAATTTCGGAACATATAGAACATGTTTAAGTTTCAGTCCTCCATCAAGGAAAACTGATCCTTCTTTGTTTGCCAGCACCAATTCACCATTTGGTAGTCCCACTCGGGCACCCTTCCAAGGCTCGACTCTCCCTCAAGTTTTCTAGTGTTCCTGTCATATGATTAGAGGTGCCACTATCAATAATCCACAAGTCACATGCTTTCTTACCAGTCATCTTTTCGGTTTCATTTGCCTTGCGAGAATTCAACATTGCTTGTCAAGATCTGCCATTGCTCATTACTCGATCCCGCTACTTCTGGTTTTTCGGTTAAACCAACGTTATCCGCACCAGTGTGCGCCATATTGACGCGAGCCGTTCCTCCTTTCCCTCGGAAGGTTCCTGTTCTTTGTTGATTTTTTCCATCGTTTCTATCGGTTCGTGGTCTCTCTCCCCACCATTCCGGGTAACCAATGATCTCGAAGCAATTGCCTTTGTCATGTCCCTTCCTTCCACACTCGCATGCAAACAACCGATTTTTCTTTCGCTTCATTGCGCAACTTGTTCCTGGTTTCCGCTCGCATAGTCATTCCCACGATCATTCCTCGCTCTTCTTTAGACACTGGTGATTGTTCTCACCCTTTCTTCTTGCACCATGGTGGCATACACCCGATTCAACGAGGGTAATGGATCTCGTTGCCAAAACATTTGACCGTGCAGTTCCATAGCCCTCATCATCTAGCCCCATCAAGAACCGATGAATTTTTTCTTCTTCTCTTCGTTTCTCAAGTTGCGTCATAATATTACAATTGCATCCCCCACATCTACACCGTGGGATTTGCTCGTAATTTGCCAGTTCATCCCACAACGTTTTCAACTTCCCATAATAGGAAACCATAGTCATTCCTTGTTGTTTGCATTCCGCCAACTCGACTTTAGTCTGCTGGATTCTTGGTCCGTTCACGATCGAGAATCGTTCCTTGATGTCATCCCATAGGTCCTTTGCGTTTTCCATGTATGCAACGAGTGGAACGCAAACTAGGTTCTATAGTGTTTAGTATCCAAGATACAAGCATCGATTGAATTGTCCACCAATCTTCTATCTCGGATGTGTCTTCTTCGAGTTCCTTATGAGTTCCATCTATGAAACCCCATTTCCTTCGAGCCCGCAGAGATATCTTCACGGCCCTTGCCCATTCCTCGTAATTCTCTCCTCGTAATTGTACTCGTGTAATCACATTTCCAGGATTATCATCGGCACTCGGATCGTATGGCGATGGTGTTTTCTTCACCGCCTCTCCTCTCTCTCGCCATTTTAGAAGTACGATCGTGTTCTCGAGTCTGTTGGATATCGAGTTTGGTTAGCTCGATACCATGATAAAAATATTTCCGAAAACCCCTGCCTTGTATTGAATATGATAGCACAATATATACATGAAATACGTAAATATTCTAGGCTATAATTACGCTAACCATTATAGTCGGTATCCTAAATTTGTCTATTAACATATATGAAATTAATGTGCATCGCTGTCATGCCAAGCTAAATATGGAAAAAATAATCATGTAGAATCATGGCATGATACGGTATTTGTAATCGTATATTCTATGTATATTCTATGTTTATCATATCAGTTTTTGTACTGATTTTAATATATAAGAAAAGCTTACTTATTTTGTTTTCTTATTTTTCTCTCTTATAAATACGTATTGAAAATTTTATCCATTTTATCTTAAACCAAATTAGGGAAGTTACCTTAGCCATTGTCACTATGTCAGGAACAACATTGTGGGCCTCAAATCCCCAGAAATAGCTACCAGTGCGACCGAAGCCAACCTGAACCTCATCAGCAATAAAAAGTCCTCCTGCCTTTTTTATGGTATTGTATACAGCAGGCAAGTAACCAGGAGCCAATTCAACGATACCCCCCACTCCCTATCACAAACAAGACCAGTATCAAGGTGTGTTTAATTCCCTCATTGTTTTAATTATATAAGTCAAATTATAAATAATATCTTGATACAATTACTTAAGTTATGTTATAAGATGGTGTTAGATGTAGAAATAAAAGAAAGAGATGGAAAACTAAACAAAAAAAGTTGGATCTCTCTATATACATTTGGCTTAATACCTGTATAGCTTCAGACATGAAGGCTGCAACATGTCCAGAAGTTCCGAAGTTAATGATATCTTGGACATCTCCAGCATACTTCTCTCCATCAGAACCAAAAATGCCTCTATAAGGGTCTGGATTTAGTGCATGATGAATACCACTCTGTGGACAATACCAGCACAAGAACGCGTAAGGTAAACATGAGTTCGTTTGAGGAGTAAAATAACTTCTTAAAATATTTCTTTTTATCCCTAAAATATATTTGAATGAATAAAATCATAAATTTTGAAGGTTGAAGGATTCAAATAAACGCCTTTAAATTTAGAAGACTAAAACCCATTTTATTCAAATTTAAGAATTACAAATATAATTAAATCTTCAAATGAAAATAATAATGAAACTTAATTTTGGGTCAAGCAAGTGAAATTAAATATAAAATTAATATATCACAATATAATATAAAATAAAATAAAATAAAATAAACCGTACTTTATCCAAGCAAGGGATCCAGTACATTATTATTGAGAAAGATATTGCACAAAAAAGTTTCAAATTTATCTGCAATGAGACGGTCCACACTTTCATATATCTTGAAAGCAGACGGAACTTCCTACTAATATGGAACCTTAGTTTTCCTTTTCTTAAAATATAGATGTAGATGCAAATCAATTTTAAAAGTAGGATGAAATAAAAGTTGGTTCTTATTTATAAATACTATGTTTAATTATATCATTAAATAATATAAGATCTTCAAAACATTTTTTTTTTTTGAGAAGTTTACATCTTGATCATTAAATTTTATATATCAGACATGTTTTACTGATTCGGAGATGAGTCAATAAGCCTACCAACAAAATATAATTGATCATATTACAGCAAGAGTTCATTATTTTTTAGTCATATTAGTCCAGCTCATTGTTAAGTATTAAAGTCCATTTTAATGTTAACACCCCTTTTCGTCGCTGTGATCCGTGACACACGTCCACTATAGCTAAACACTAAACAGGGTTGATGTTGAACGAGGAGAGTGAGTTAAAAAAATGACTTCAACTACCACGATGTGACAATCCACTCAACTATACATGTCATCGTTACATGGACTTGAGCCCGGCTTTATTTTAAAATTATTCCTTTCAGATAATGACTGAAAAGTTATGTGAATTTAACCTAAACGTTCTACTTAAATTTACTTTTACAAACAGTACTTTTTGTTTTTTTTTTGTTTTTCTCTGTATGTGTGTGATTAAATAGTGACAATTCCTATATGAAATTAAAAAAAATGAAACCATAAATGTTTGTACCTGTACAACATTAAATTTCCAGATGCTTTGAGCTGTGGCTCCCATTGTTCCAGCTGCATTACCGTGATAAGCATTCCTCAGAGATATTATGTCATGACACCCGGTGTACAACCTTGCTATCAGCATCGCCAATTCGTTTGCTTCTGAACCAGAGTTTGTGAAAAACACCACCTAACATAATATTTTTAATTAATTCCATTTTCACGTGCCACCTTTTCTTCTTTATCAAATTATTGAAAGAAATATATATAATACTGAATGAAACATTATGCAATATTCAATCATTGATGCCACGCAACCAGTCAGTGGCATCTCAATCCAATGAACCAAATTAATGTACGGACAAAGAAGCAATATTTTAAAATAAAATACGAAACTCTACCAATATATCATTGAAACGTGCCCATCTCTTGGGACAGTGGCTTACGTGGAAGTTGCTCCGAAAATTTTGAACTTCATCAATAATTTCTTTATTTTCTTCTGTTTACTTGGAAGCAGTAAAAATGGTGTTTCAAAATAGTTTTCTACCCACTCTCATCACCTCTATGATCCACAATGAATAATGCATAATCCTATTGGTTTGATAATCCAAAATATTGGTTTGGGAATCCAAGTAATTGAGAGAATAGACAAAAATTAATATTAAAGTTAAAAGTAGCATTTCTCAGTCACGTTTATCATCATTCATATCATAAAGCGAGGCGGTTTATTTATCTATAAAAAAATAAGTTTTTCAATTTAATGTACTACTTTACTTTTATTTCTTTTTATAAAATTTTATTTTATTTTAATAACTGATTCTACTTTGTTTTGTAATAATTACCATTTTAATTACGCAACAAAAATGTAGACCTATGTATTTCAACCAGTAACAACTATTTAAGTTTTAAAAGCTTTTTTTTTCAAAAAGAAGTTGTAATATTTTTAAAATAAAAAAGAATAAATTCTATCGTTTATATTATTTTCTCTAAAAAATTATCGATATAATCCTGAAAGTAGCTTATTTTATTTATTTATTTATTTATGTCATAATATATTACATTCATGAAAAAAACTTATTTTATTTTGTAAATTTAATTTTTCACTACTTTTTTATTCTTTTCCCTTTAATTCATCTTCTAACTACTAATGTTAAACTTATTAAGACCATCTACACTTACAAATTCAAAAGAAGCGCTACTAACAGAAGCTCTATCATATTTTATTCTTTATTAAAAGATAGTACGAAATCAAGAGAAGAAAAAGATTAACGAAACCAACAAATCTTGTAGTAATCTTTAATTAATTTTACATTAATCTTAAGCCTAAGTCAATTTATTAAAGATCCTTATCCAAATTTTTTTATAGTGAAAAAATACAAATATTGGATTTATAGAGATATTTATTATATAATTATCAAATATAATCTAATCTTAATAGAGTAAATTGAGATGACTTAGATTGAATTAAAAAAATATAAAAATTCAATTTATTCAAAGATTATTTTAATTAAGTTAAACAATAAATTTAGTGAAAATTTATTCAACATCATCTAATATGTGTACATCTAATTAATTTAGTCACAAACAAAGTGGATATTGGTTTTCAGCCCTTGGATTGACTTATAATCCGTACAAGTCACAGTTACAAACTTTTTTTTTTTGACACTTTTTTTTTATGGAAGCATTTTTAAATCAGTCCATATAATTCATATTCGCAATCTAAATAATTTATATAAAAATGCTATCTTTAATATTTAAATTAAAACATTAAATATATATTAAATATTTTACTATTAATAATGTAAAAAAAAAGGAGAAAAAATAAATGAGGTTAATACTAATATTACGAAGAAATGAGATTTATGAAAAGAAAAAAGATAGTAAGTAGGAAACACGATAAGAGCATGGAAAGAGGGCCAAACCTTGAGGTTACCGGGAAGCTTAGAAGCCAAAGCCTGAGCGAAATCGGCGATGGCGTGGTTAAGGTAGAGAACCGTGGAGTGCTGCAACTTTGTGGTTTGGTTCACTATGGCCTCCACCACATCAGGGTGACAGTGCCCGCAGCACACTGTAGCAATCCCTCCGAACGCGTCCACGTATCTTCTCCCATTTTCGTCGAACAGGTACTGTCTCTTTCCTTCGACAATGTTCACCTGCACACCCACAACACGTTAAAACACTTCTTCATCACTGTTTATTTCTAAATAAATCATCATTTATTATTAGTATTTAATGCTCATTAAATATTAAAAATATTCTAATTAAATTTAATCCTCACATTTATTGCTTTTCGAACAACATTCAATACGAGTAAAAAGTGTATGTATAATAATGAATTTTTAGAATTCATTCATTCAATCACAAATAAATAAAAACTTTTAAATATTTTTACAGATAAATTAAAGTCTACTAAATAAAATAAAAAAATTACAAGAATTCTTTAAAATATAATAATTTTGTTGGAAATTAGTATGGAGCATTAACATATACAGAATGATCATACAGTGTTACTGGAAAATAGTTTTATATTATCTACTGAAAACAAATTATTTTTTTATATATAATCATTTTAAAATAATATATTTTTATGAATTATCGCATAGATTATTTTACTTAAAAGTCTAGTAAATAATATATATACAATTATGCATATTCTTCAGAATTTAATTTTTCATAAATTATTATAATATATTTTTATTAACTATTACAGTTAACTTCATTAAAATAAATAAAAAAAAACATATAAAATTTGTTGGACTAGCTTGTTTATTCTAATAGTAAAAAAAAATTATATGGAGAAATATTGTTGCGCAAACTCACGGGGTTCTTGTACAAATGCAAAATGGAAGGACTCAGATACTCTTTACGCTTCGCCAGAATCTCGTCGGCGGTGGGCCCCGCATACGGAAGTGGGGAGTAATCGAACGGAGGTAGCTCCCGGGCGGCGACGGTGTTCGTTTCGGCGTCCACTGCCGCCCGAGCAAACCCGCGTCGCCAGTGAAGCGGTGGCGATCGTCGCGTCACAAGCCTTGTCGCAAGGGAAACCGTCATTTTCGCTCTGGCGAAGGAGAATTTTCCAGGGATATGATCTGGTGTGAAAGACCCTATCCGATCGGAAAATGAAGGTGAAACTGAAAACGGAGAAAGACGAACGATAAAGAAGAATGGAAGTATTATATAGGGGAAGTATGAAGAGCAGTGATGACGTGGACAAAAGGATTGTGTAAGCGATTTGTCAATAATACCCTTGAATTTTGGGAAAATTACGGTTTTCTTTTGGAGTTACTCGAAACTTTATTAGTCATTAATACTAATTAATATCTTCATTAATATCTGTTGAAAAAATATTTGCAATCATAGGTTTTCTATTAACGGATTCTTTAACTATTATTAATTATTTTATATTTTATAATTGTAATTAAATAATCATCAAATAGTTATTATCAAGAATGGTTTAGGGACAAAAGTAAATATTTCATTCTTGGTTTTATATATGAGTTATTTAAAAATAAAAAAATTACTTAAAATTAGAAAAAAAATTGTTTAGATAAGTAATTTTGATCAAATTTTAAGCAACTTAACTATAGGACCTAAAATAAATTATTTTATTTTATTTTTAAGCAACTCTAGTTGAAAATTCTATTTGAAAATATTCTTACCTATTTAAAATTATTGGGTCGATTAATCATATTTAAAAGTCTAGATGATACTACTTTTATTTATTTTGTTATAATATCTTATATTAGTTATTATTTTATGAGTTATCAGTTATTATATGTCAACTTATTGTTATTTTTTAATACTAAAGGGACCTAATCACGAGTAAACCTCATAACTCATTCTCATATATATTAATCTTTTATCTAAAACCTGATTTGAACGCGAGAGTGCCTTTTGCAAGTGGCCTCTACGTTTTCCCGGAGATTGTCTTTAAAGTTGGTGGGCGCTCAGTAAAACGTCCCCCATAATCTCTTCCGTCCAATGGTTCTAACCTGTAGCTAGACAGTGTGCAACCCCGACAACATGGATTCCTTAGCTGTCATTGACAACCTTAAGAAGCACATGGACGAGTGTCAACAAATAACTCAAGAAGAGATAAAAAATTTGCAAGAAAAGAACAATGCTAAGCTACTTTAGGTCTAATAGAAGGCAACAGAAGAATTGGAGGTAGTTCGGAGATAACATAAGAAATTCAACAAAAGGTGGTCGACGAACTGTAGTTGATCAAGAAACAACACTAGACCGAGTTTCAGACATTGCATAATGAAATGAAAATGCTACCTCAATGACCACAAACAACTAGGTTGAATACGCACAAGGAAGGAACCACAACATCACGTCAATCACATACCAAACAGTCCCTAGCCTCGACCAACAAAACAGACCTGAAAGTTCAAGATCAAGAACAACATAAAGTTTCTGCCCCATGGAGCAGACATTCCTCCTAAACCAAGCAGTAGACCTCCAAACTCCAGGAGGGTGGATCATTCAAGAGGAGGACAACAACCACTTATTTGTCCCAGGAATCATGCAAATGCCTCTCTCACCTAATTGGAAATCTTGAGACTTAGGAAAGTACAACGGGATGACAGACCCCGAGGAACATTTGGCTATATACAAGACACAGGTAAAACTGTATATCAATAGCGGAGTCATCCTCTTTCGAGTGTTTTCCACCACATTGAGAGGAGTAACATTACGATGGTATAATTCCTTACCATATAATTCCATAGATTCATACTATACGCTAGTAGAACAATTTCGAGTTAGGTTTGCAGTTAGTAATATACACGAAGCCACATTAGTAGCCCTGGAAGGCAGGAAACAAGGTGAAAACGAGTCCCTTTGGAGCTTTATGGATCGGTTTGCACGAGTTTCTAAAATAATACCAAACCTCCACCCAAAAGTGACTATGCATGCCATATTGTGTACCTTACAACCAAGACCCTTAATGGACAGTTGCTTTGCTTATCCACCAAGGTCCCTTGATAAGTTACGCACTCGAGCAGCTAATTACATTTGAATAGAAAATAACAATGTCAGATACAAGAAAAAGCATAGAACTGACTCTCAAGCACCTTCTACTCAACCTTTTAAAAATCCTAGGATTACTAAATATGAGCGATATACACCCTTAAACACTAATAAGGAAGAAATCCTTCAAGAAGCGTTTAATCTGGAACTTGTGCATGCCCCTCCACCACTACTCACATTGGTCCATGCAGATACGACCAAGTATTGCTGATTTCATCAAAATTATGGGCATGCCATTGAAGAATTCAAAAGGTTAAAGACCTTATTGAAGAACACATCAAGGTAGGATCGCTCACACAGTTTGTAAGTAACGAACAACATGAGGGACAAGACCATGGACGCAGTGGATTCCAAGGACGAGACCGAGGAAGATGAGGAGGATTTTATGGACAAGGTCGTTGTCATGATGCCCTTCCATTACCACCACCCCATCAAAATCAACAAAATCATGTCAAATATCAATATCAAGAAATCGAGGATGAAAAAATGAACAGTCAAATACCCGTCATCCGAGGTGTCATCAACATTATTCCAGAGGGTTTCACAGGAGGAGGATCATCAAGTTTCGCCCGAAAACGACATCTCAAGGTTTCCATAACATCGATACCTAACATAGAAGGACACAACCACCTATAATCTTTTCCAACGAGGACTTCGGATCTCATGAGCCAAATCTAAATGACCTAGTTGTAGTCATGGTACAAATGGCCAATTAGGAGGTAAAGAAAACATTAATAAACCAACGGAGTTCGGTGGATGTCTTATATTGGTCGACCATCCTGAGACTTGGTCTTCCCCTTACAATAATTCAACCCTATCTCGAACCACTACTCGGCTTTGCTGGGGAACGCGTACACACCATAAGATACATGTGTTAGACAAATGACATTTAGAGGGGGGTGAATAGATGCACAAATTAAAATAGATGCCAAATTAAAATTTATTTTAAATGTCCAATAATTTGTTAATTCAATTTTAAAGCGGAAACAATAATATAATCAGGAAGATATAAGAGAAGTGATTAAGAAAAGAAGAGTGATAAAGGGAAGATAAGAGCACAGTAATTTATACTGGTTTGGGTATAGCCAACTCTACATCTAGTTCTCAGTCACCTTTAACACAAGAGCGACCCCAATTCACTATCTTTCGAATTCAGTTTATAAATTACAATCAATTTAGCAGAGGAACCAGTAAAAAGTAAACTAATTAAAAAGACAATCACCTCCTTAGAAACCTATTAAGGATGAACACCTCCCTAGAATCCCACTAGGGATGAACACCTCCTCTGAACAAATCAAAGCATGAAAAGCATCTCCTTTGCAACCAACACACAAAGATGAACACCTCCTTAGAATCTCACTAGGGATGAACACCTCCTCTGAACAAATCAAAGGATAAAAAACACCTCCTTTGCAACCAACACACAAATGATGAACACCTCCCTAGAATCACACTAGGGATGAACACCTCCCCGAACAAATCAAAGGAATGAAAACACCTCCTTAGAATCTCAATAAGGATGAACACCTCCCTGAACAAATCAAAGGGATGAACAGTTTCCACACAAGAAACCCAAAGAAATTTAACAAAATAATAGCAACCACTTAAACCCACAAAGGATGAAGGCAATAAAATAAGAACAATCACACCTGGGTAATGGAGACAACAAATTGTAGAAGCCTGTAGAATGCCAACCTCTAAGAACAAGTGTGATTAACAATGAAAGCACAAAAGACAGTAGAGAAAAGGGTTTTGTCAGAAGGTGTAAAATATCTTTGTTGCCTTGCTTAGAATTCTTTTCTTAAAACTGAATGAATGTAAAATTGTATTTTTGAATTCTGTAATTGTGTATTTTTTATTTTTTCATCAAAACTGATTTAAAGAGGAAAATAACATCAGAAAATAGACGTTGGTCATTAATACTTTCGTAGAGAAAAATCAAGATGTATTAAAAAACATTTATTCTTCAAAACAGATATTTTTTTTAAATATGAACTGCCATAATCAATTATGTTACCAGTATAATCAATTATGACAGAGAGAAAAATGTTTTTCCATTTCTGATGCATCATAATTGATTATGACAGTGAAAAATGTCATGTTACAAAATTTTATCACACTTGTGCTTTGGAGGCTTATGCATAATACTACTTCATCAACTTGTACCTCCATATCCAGTATTCTAAGACTCTATCTAGTCTTCAGGAATCATCTTGGGCTTGCTTGAATCTTGAATGTTGTTGACTTGAATCATCATCAAAATCATCTCTTGGGAATGTAGGGACATGTTTCATATTTTCATCAATCTCCCCCTTAATGCTTTCAACATGGGCATAATTACCACGTTTGGTTCGACTAAGAATAGCAAACGAGTCATGATCTAGTACACACTCATAGAAGGATAAATGTCTTACAATGTCCTGATAGGAAGACGAACATTAAATCATCTCAAAGTATCGTTTCCACAATACACATGGTAATGAAATTCCCAGCATAGTATGGAACAATTGTGATGGTCAGAGCAGATCCCAAGGAAGCATGAACACGTTACATCAAAAGCCTCAAGGTTGCACCTTACTCGTTAAAGGTCAAGATGGATGAATCAAAGGAAGATACAAAGTACAAATAATGTTTCACCACATATGCAATAGTTAACCTCGACCCCTGAGATGAATTCGATGAAGATAGGCCGACCTTCAACGAGTAATTGATGGAAGTCCAAATAGGAACAAGAGAGGAACAAATAACCACGATCGAACAGATGCTACAAGCAGAAGATCGGCTTAAACTTATTAACATACTAAAAATAAATATTGATCTCTTTGCATGGAGCCCTCCAGATATGTCTTGTATTGATCCAAACTTAATTTGTCAAGTTAGCATGTTTTACCCACATAAAGCCCGTAGCACAGAGGAAGAGAAGGCTAAGAGGAGGAAAACACGTAACAACAGGCAGTTGAGAAACTCCTGCAAGCTTAGTTCATCAGAGAGATACCTTATACAACCTAGCTAGCAAA